GCCTCCGCCGCCCCCCCCCCCCCCCCCCTCTTCTCTTCTTCTCTGCCTTTTTTTCTTTAGCTCACCTGATTTGTGAGGAAGGAATTTAAGAAAAGGAAATTTATTGAGGGGGGTTTTAAGAAGGAAATTAAAGAGGGTTATTACTGTAGCTACAATAACGAACTTTTATTTATTGAGAGATTTCAAGTTTGAGATCTGCTCTTACATTGTAATTTCCTGTTGATTAATAAGAAATTATTTGTGTGGCTCCCGAGGACGTAGGCAAGTTTATCGAACCTCGTAAATCATGGTGTACTTTTCTTTATACTGTGTTTTTCGCTGTTAAAGGGGTTTAGCGTAGCCCCGGGTTTTCCCCAACAACTGGTATCAGAGCCTGAAACGATTTAGAGGAAGTCAGATTCAAGTGGGAGCGATGGCCGTAGATGAAGGACATATGAGATTAGAGAAGTTCGATGGAACATATTTCGAATTCTAAAAAATACAGATAGAGGATTATATGTATCAACCTCTTTCAGAAAAGAAGCCGGAGTCTATGAAGGAGGATGAACATAACCTTCTAGACAGACAAGCCCTCGGAGTTATCAGATTGACGTTAACTCGTAATGTTGTGTTCAATATTGCGAAAGACAAGACCACGACGGATCTTATGGCAGCACTCTCAAATATGTATGAGAAGTCATCAGCCGCGAACAAAGTTTATTTGATGAGGTGGTTATTGAATCTGAGAATGGCGGAAGACGCGTCAGTAGCACAAAACCTCAATGAACTCAACACGGTCACAACCCAATTGAGTTCAATTGAAATTAAGTTTGATGACAAAGTTCGAGCATTGATCTTTTTATCTTCCCTATCAGAAAGCTGGAACGCTATAGCCATGGTTGTGAGTAGCTCATCGGGAAGTAACAAGTTAAAGTTCGACGACATTCGTGATCTGGTTCTCAGTGAGGAGATCCGACGAAGAGAGTCGGGTGAAGCTATAACCTCTTCAGTATTGCATACAGAGTCAAGAGGTAGAAATTTAACCAGACGGAACGGACGAGGCAAATCAAACTACAGAGTTAGATCAAAGGACAGGAGGTCCAAATCCAAGAATCCAAGCAACAGCTCAAAGGCTATCGAGTGTTGAAATTATGGAAAAACGGAGCACTATAAGAATCAGTGCAAGAGTGCACAGAAGGAGAAGGCGAAGGCAGAGGTGAATGTCACTTCCACCTCAGGAGGAGACGATGCATTGATATGCTCTTCAAAAAGCAAAGAGGAATCTTGGGTGTTAGATTCAGGAGCGTCGTTCCATGCTACTTCTCAGAAAGAATTTTTTGAGAAGTATGTCCCCAGAAATCTTGGATATGTATACCTTGGTGATGATCAACCGTGTGCTATTGTGGGCAAAGGTGTAGTAAAAATTAAGTTGAACGGGTCAGTATGGGAGCTGAATGATGTTAGGCATATTCTCAACCTAAGAAAGAACTTAATATCCGTAAGCCAGTTCGCTGGCGAAGGATACACTACGACCTTCCATGGGGATGATTAGAAGATCTCAAAGGGTGCAATAACGATTGTCCGAGGTAAGAAGACTGATACCCTATATATGATAATAGGTACACGTTGTTTAATCTCAGTTGCAGCAGGCAATAAGACCTCAAATTTGTAGCACCAGAGACTCGGTCATATGAGTGAAAAGGGGATGAAGATTTTGCACACAAAGGGAAAACTTCCAAGTCTAAAATCAGTGGAGATGGACATGTATGAAGAATGTATATTTGGAAAGCATAAGACAGTCAGCTTTCAGACAAGTGGCAAAACCCCCAGGAAGGAAAAGCTTGAGCTCATTCACTCATATGTTTGGGGACCAACCACCACCGCGTCCATTAGTGGGAAACACTACTTCATGATTTTTATCGATGATCACTCTCAGAAAGTGTGGGTCTACATTCTGAAGCATAAGTCAGAAGTATTTGAGGCTTTCAGGAGATGGAAAGTCATGATCGAGAATGAGACCGGTCTGAGAATAAAGAAGCTCAGGACCGACAATGATAGTGAGTATGAAGACACCGGATTCAATAAGTTTTGCTATGAGCACGGGATCAGAATGGAGAGATTCATGCCTGACACGCCTCAGTAAAATGGTATAGCTGAACGGATGAACCGAACGTTGACAGAGAGAGCCAGAAGCATTCGGATAGAGTCAGGCCTACTAAAGAAGTTCTGGATAGAAGCGATCAATACAACAACTTACTTGATCAATCGAGGTCCATCGGTTCCATTGGAGCACAGAATACCAGAGGAGGTATGGTGCGTAAAGGAGGTAAAACTCTCACATCTCAAAGTTTTTGGTTGTGTAGCTTATGTGCATATTAGTGATCAATGTAGGAATAAGCTTGATCCTAAGTTCAATAAATGCACTTTCATCAGCTATGGTGAAGATGAGTTAGGCTATCGTATTTGGGATAATAAAAACAAGAAGGTGATCAGGAGTAGAGATGTGATATTCAACGAGAATGTGATGTACAAGGACATACACAAGACAGATGACTCAGAGAAAGAGTCAACATTTATAGATGAAGATGATATCCCGAGTAACCTCTCGGAAGAACCCAATGCAGAAGGTCCTCAGCCAAAAGAGCATGTTGGACAGAACGGTGCACAGGAGGCCGACACACCAACTCCGATATTAAGAAGATCTTCTCGACCTCCTGTGCCCAACAGGAGATATATGAACTATATGTTGCTGACAGATGGAGGGGAGCCTAAAAGCTATGACGAAGCTTATCAGAGTGGAGATGCGAGCAAGTGGGAGCTTGCCATGAAAGATGAGATGAAGCCTCTCATCTGAAACTAGACGTGGGAACTAGCTGAGTTGCCCACAAGTAAGAAGACACTTCACAATAAATGAGCGTATCGGGTGAAAGAGGAACATGATGGTTCCAGAAGATATAAAGCCCGACTAGTTGTTAAAGGATTCCAGCAGAAGGAAAAAATTAACTACACCGATATTTTTGCTCCCGTGGTAAAGCTCAATACTATCGGGACAATGATGAGTATTGTAGCTATTGAAGATCTTCATCTCGAGCAGTTAGACGTGAAGACTGTGTTTCTTCACGGAGATTTAGAAGAAGAGATATACATGCACCAGTCAGAAGTTTTCTCAGAAGAAAAGAAGAAGAACCTGGTGTGCAGACTCAAGAAGTGCTTGTATGGCCTAAACAAGCCCCAAGACAGTGGTACAAAAAGTTTGACAGTTTCATGCACAAGGAAGGTTTTCAGAAGTGCAACGCCGACCACTGTTGCTACTTCAAAATATATCAGTCCAGTTATATCATCTTACTGTTGTATATTGATGATATGTTAGTTACAGGTGTAGATATGAAGGATATCAGGAATTTGAAGCAGCAGCTATCAAAGAAGTTTGACATGAAGGACTTAGGTCCAGCAAAAAAGATTCTTGAAATATAAATCACGAGAGATAAGAAGAGAGATCTCTTACAGTTATCTCAGATAGAGTACATCAATCGTGTTTTGCAGAGATTCAATATGGGGGACGCTAAGCCAGTCAGCACATCATTAGCCAGTTATTTTCGCCTATCAAAGGATCAGTCTCCTCAGTCAAAAGAAGAGAAAGAGAGTATGACTAAGGTCCCTTACGCCTCAGCCATCGAAAGCTTGATGTACGTAATGGTCTGTACAAGACCAGACATTGGCCATGCAGTGGGAGTGGTCAGCCGGTTCATGTCGAATCCAGAAAAGCTCATTGGAAAGCGGTCAAGTGGATTCTGATGTATCTACGAGGCACCACACAGAAGTGTTTGCACTTTGGTAAGGGAGACGTGAAAGTGCAAGGGTACGTAGATGCATACTTTGGAGGTGAAGTCGATCACCGAAGAAGCACCACCGATTATGTATTTACTGTCAGAACTATAACTGTTAGTTGGATGTCATAGATACAGAAGATTATCACTCTATCCACTACAGAAGCTGAGTATGTAACAATGACTGAAGCTAGTAAAGAGATAATATGGCTTCAGGGTTTATTAACAGAGCTGTGATTCAAACAGGAAAGGAATGTCTTGCATAGTAATAGTCAGAGTGCGATACACTTGGCTATGAATTCTGTATTTCATTCTAGAATGAAGCACATTAGGCTTCGGTACCACTTCATCAGATCCCTGTTGGAAGATGACGTGTTAAAATTGGAGAAGATTTTAGGAAGTAAGAATCCAGCAGATATGTTAACAAAGACTGTGACCATTCAGAAATTAGAGTTGTGCGTAACTTCAGTTAGCCTTCATGCATAGGTGATGAGGGCGAAGCCACACATGAGAAGGTGCTTGTTGAGATAGTCTGCTGACGACGGTTTGATCTCCAAGTAGGAGATTGTTGGATTTGGGTATGGATCTAAACCTCCGCAGGCGAGGAGCTTCAGGCGAGCTCCTCCGGCGAGTTCAAAGGCGAGGTCGACGCCGAGCTTGAGGCGAGCTCTAGGCGAGATCAACGGCGAGCTCGAGGCAAGCTTCAAGTGAGGTTGAGCGAGTGAGATCCAGGCAAGCATGGGCGAGTCAGGTGAGCTCAAGAACCCCACGCAGGCGAGGTTCCCCCCCCCCCTTTTTCTCTTCTTCTCTGCCTTTTTTTCTTCAGCTCACGTGATTTGTGAGGAAGGAATTTAAGAGAAGGGAATTTATTGAGGGGGATTTTAAGAAGGAAATTAAAGAGGGTTATTATTGTAGCTACAGTAACAAACTTTCATTTGTTGAGAGATCCCAAGTTTGAGATCTGCTCTTACATTGTAATTTCTTGTTGATTAATAAGAAATTAATTGTGTGGCTCCCGAAAACGTAGGCAAGTTTGCCGAACCTCGTAAATTTTAGTGTACTTTTTTCTATACTGCGTTTTTCGCTGTTAGAAGGGGTTTAGCGTAGCCCCGGGTTTTCCCCAATAATATGTTCCGTGAACAATGGAAAAACTTGAACCGGTATTAGTCCATGTTACATACCTCGAGGAATTCAGCTCCAATTTCAAGTGCTGGTTCATCCGATTGTGGCATTTGATGCCCTGATGCATATAAGTTCCTTGCAAGTGAAAAGCTCCTGATAATTATCTTTCTTTTCTTCTCCATTTCATGATCAAGCTTCGGAGCTATTTTAATGTTTGCTGTGTTATTAACCTTCTTTTGATAAGCCATTACCGCCTTTACAAATTCCTGTTCAAAGAAAGAAAAGGAAAAGTGTTAGCGCAGTTTGTACACCCAAATTAGCCTAATGCTGTTTGCAAAATCATCAAAAGCAATCACTTGAATCCCCAATTTCTGATCTTGGAAAATGCATCTGAATTATAAATTTGAATTAATGTGTAAGTTATATAGATGACATGATGAAAATTTTGGTATAGCATAAATTTTGGTATAAGAAAGTTTGCCAGAACATCTCCCCGTGTATTGTTTCTCTGACAGAGAGGACATACGAGTGCCAACTTTGTGAACCCTGTAAGTCTGTGACTTATAATTTTCTTTTTTTTTAAATGGCACGAGCAATTCCTAAGGCTTGTACACTAGAAGTGCAATTATAAACATCTGACCAAAGTTATGTCAAATTTTAGATGCATGATTTCTTCCATTAGAGATGTGCACAAGAGGGGGAAAAAGACCACACACAGTGCACGTGCATAAAATCATAAGATGGGTTTTTTTTCTTTTTCCGGATCCAAGTATAGGAGTAGGAATCTCATTAGAACGTCCCCTCAAGGTGTGGGGTCTTATGAGCCACTCATTTTATAAAGTGGGGCGCAGTTTTAATCTCTCAGTACCCTCTGTTTGGCACACGGAACCCTACACCGTGTGAAGTTCTGATAGAATCTCTACTCCAATTTGAGATTTATGCCTATAAATTATGTGTTTTACCTTGATGTTTTTGTATGCTGACTAGAAACCTATCAATCATATAGACAAGTAAATTAAACATATAAATCAATAGTTCATGATAAATTTCCAGTATCCAAATATGCACTTCAACATTCAACAGATTCATGAATATCACATTAGCAAAACCTACGTTAATGGTAAAGCAAGAAGTTTGCTGTAACAGATCTCAGATTTAAGATCAAACTATTGTCTATTAGCATGGGAAATACTCGCACCTGATAAGCCGAGGGGCACCCAGGATAATCGAAATCATCAGACTCCGGCCGCCTCATTCTCTCCGGATGAAACTGCAGTCCCATAATAAACCTCCCTTCCTCAGGATCATAACACTGAGGATCATAAAACCCCTCAATCAATCCATCCTCCGAGTACGCCATTGGAACAAACCTCGACGCCAGTCTCTTCACACCCTGGTGATGATAGCTGTTTACGCTCATCTCCATCCTCTCGTCCAACGACCCCTGAAACCAATCACTCAGCGGGGTTTCCTCAACCACCCTCACCCTGTGTCGATGCCCATCATAATTCTCATAATCGATATGACGTACTTTTGCATCACTACCTTTCTTCGCAACCTCTTTCTCTATGTCCTGATACAGTGTACCTCCGGACGCTACATTGAGGACCTGAGACCCACGGCAGATGCCAAGGTAGGGGATGCTTCGGTCGAGGCAGAGCTTTGCGAGGCGAAGCTCGATGGAGTCTTTTTCACGGTCTATGGCTGTGTCGCTGATGTGGAGGCGGCGGATGTCTTCGAGTTCTTGAGGGGTGAGGCCGGAGATCTCTGAGTCATAGAGGGAAGGGTCGATGTCCTCGCCCTCGCAGAGAAGGACGCCGTGGATTGGCTCAAAACTGTCGAGGAGCATGTGGACCCCGGCTACCCTGGGGACGATCACCGGGACAGCACCGTAGGAGACTATCAGATCAAGATGATACTCTCCTGTAAAAATAAAATAAAATAAAATAAAATAAAAAATCTTTATCTTGAAGCGTTAAATATAAGATAAAATTTATTTGAATATAAAGATCTCTATACACATATGTTACTATATATAAAAGCAAATTAGAATATAGCATGAGAGATCATTTACCGACGAAATCAACAAACTTGTTCTTACGAACACAACGCCTAGAGACAATGAGAACTCGAGGCAAGATCGTGGACAAATCAGTAGGAGCCATTTTCGCTTGTTTTTCTCCCCCCTTTTTCTTTTCTCCCTAGGCCTTTAACATGAAGAGCTGTTTAGGGCTAGGGTTCGATATTTACTTCTTTTTCGAGCAAAAAACAAAGTTATTATCCGTGACAATTTTTAAGGGGTGCCCGTGAGCAGTCCATGTTCATCCTCTAGGCGCCACGTCACTGAAATATATTGGAATTAGTCAATTAATACCAAATCTCTTATAAGTAAAGGATTCAAATGGTTATGGGTTCAATATTATTTGGTATCTGATAACCATTTAAAATATAGATATAGATATATAGGTAATGGCACAAAAGAATAGCAAAGCATTCGATAACATTCTCTTAAATTTCTGATGCCAAAATTTCCAAAACTAACATATATTTCAAGTACATCAAATATTACATGGTCTGCTATTTTGTTTAAGGATGGCGAGTTTATTAGGATATCTATGCTTTTTTAACCTTGTCACATAAAAGGACAGCAAAATGTAAGCGGTAAGCTTTTAAATATCCATCAGTTACATTTACATTTTACTCAGCCGTGTTTTATTACCTAATTCAGATCACTTGGCTGGGATTCTGCGGCATTGCTCCTGTACATGAGAGAAACCCCTCATATCATATAATATATTCATTATTCAAATGAGTTCTTTCTGTATTAGTCCCTTTATAATTCTTTATGAATATTTTAAAATTAGTCCCTCACATCATTAAAATTGCTATGTAAATTCCCAATTTTTCTGTTATTTCATAATTATTCCCTCAAACAAGTAAAATTGCTTTTGGCTTATCCAATTCTCTTTAGTGTTCCACATTCATTTCTCTAATCAAGAGTAAAATTAGCAATCAGAGGGATAGTTTGAAACCACTTATGAGAATCCGCGACCTAACTAATATCAATCTCAATGTTTTGAGGGACTAATTTGAAAATAACTTACAACATGGTAGATTTAATAGCAATTTGAATGTTTTACCAAATAATTTTGAATCAGTTCCATTGAATTAGTACTAAGTACTCTCTAAATTGCTTTATTTTGTAGGAATCGTATAACAAACAATATTTCGTATACCAACTATATATCCAACGGATAAGATCCTTTTATTAATCTCTTCAGTGTTGACTTGATTTGATATTTTTTGTTGTTTGTAAATAGAATAGATGATTAGGAGATTATTGGTAAACATAGTAATCAGAGGATTAGGAGGACGAAGCGCCACATATGCAGTAGTTATCTGGGAATCTGGGATCAGTCAAAACTGTAGATAGCTGCTGATCTGTCAGCATGTGCTATTTTTGTGCCTGGCATCGAGTCAGAATTCAATTGCAAACTTAAACACGAGCAGCAATTGGGATGCTGATTGCAATTCCAGCACAAGTTTATGTGCAAATCTTATCCCACAGTTTTCCTTAAAAAAAAATTACCTAACGGCGGTTGCAGATAAAATCAGAGGAGGAAAACAATGTCCATTAGAAATCAAATACTCTAAATATGAAAGAAAGCAAATGTTGAAATCAAATATTTTCAAATAACAACCTAGAACCAGAACTAAACAAAAATAGGCAGCCACATGCACTGCCATATTTCTCAACTTAACTTTGGTATTAGATGCAGGACTCCCCACGTAGCTAAATACTTGAAAACTAAAACATTCGAGAAAAGAGGCTATCGATCTCTTTTCCGCTACACAAATCACATGCCTCGGTGATTTGCTTTTAGGATCATAATATTCAAGCCTCCTATTAATATAATCATCCACATACATCAACAATTTTCCATGTTTCATTTGGAGGAGATTTAAAGACCTCGGCTCGTGAATACCATCACATGGAAATTCGATGTTGTGGATTTGTTCCCACACGCTGCATTGCCTTTGTACATCCATAGATTGAAATTGCCCCAACAACAGTATCCTTCAACAATGCATAAGCTAGCCTCCAACTCTTGTAGTTCATATTCTATTTGGTCTTGTTTGTTGAGTTGAGAGGAGTGTTGAATCATTGCCTATGACGGAGACGCGTTAGTTCGTGCACCACCGCAGATCAGATCCGATTAACAAAATAATTATGCTCTTGTTTCACGAAGGAAACAATCGCAGCAGCGACAATCACGACCAAGTGAGATTTTGGCTCTTCTCAAGATTAAAACCAAGTTTAATCCGGAGGAAAGAGGGGGAGAGAATCTTGAATCTTTCGAAGGCTTTTTCTTTATGAAAAAGTTTGCCAACATTCGCCAAGTCTCCTCTGAAATTCGTGGTTTACTGCTCAATTCGACAACACCTCGCCCTCTGATTTCAGATCCTCTCAAATGAAGACCCTGGGCTTCTATTTATAGGCTTTTGTTGCTGCGATTCCTGATAAGATCAAGTGTTTTGACGTCATCTGCAATTGATAACCACCCAGCCGTACTTAGGGATAGCTTCAGAACAGTTGGGGAGGTCCTGGAACAAAAGAATCCTTAAAAAACATCGAAACTCGTGTTTTGAGAAGTTTTGGGAGCCGATCACCACCTGGTAGCTAGGAGCTGTACGAGCCACCATTTGGTGGCTCGCACTCATGCGAGCCCTGTGGCCTGCTTCGTCCGTCTTTTTTACTTTGTGGCTATGTATAGCCCCTTTAGTCCGCTTGTTTTGCGGTTGTTTTGCCTTTACGCGTGTTTCGTCGCTTTGTTGACTCGTGCGCGATTCACTTCATGCATCTCGTTGGCTTCTTTACAGATTTGGATAATCCCATTTGGACTTAGATAATGACGTTCATCGTCTTCTCTTTGTCTCGAGTTGTATTCAGACAACTATAGGCATTTTTTGATGCCTACAATGTGCTTTTGATACACCCCTTAGTTTATCTTTAGTTTTGGATGATTCCCTGTAACTAAGATGATGGTGTTTATCGCCTTCTCCCCGTCTTGAGCTATGTGTGATGATTTATAGGCAATTTTGACGCCTACACTTGAAACGGTGATACCGTTAATTAAATATGAAACTACGATGCTAATAAATAAATATGAAATGGCAATGCCGTTAATTAATTATGAAACAGCGATGCTGTTTGTGTGAGCCAAGAGACAGCTACCTTGGAGGTCGAGATGTGGTAAACTCCGAAGACTGCCGTGAGGGTTGGGGACGAGACTTAGATCTCGCCAAATAATTCATCGGAAAACTAACAGAGTGAGACAGGAAGGGTCGTGCCTCACAAAGACTATAGAAACTGGCCAGAGAAAAAAAATAAAAAGAGACGGTCGTGCCGATGGAGATCCTTCACGAGGGAGGGGGAGAGAAGCGTTACGCGCTTCCAGAGAGGAAAAGGAACGGACTGAGATTTAGGGTTTTCAAAATCCTAGAGAGGACGGTTACGAGAGAGCCGACTGAAAAATAGGGTTTTCAGAACCCTAGAAAGAGCAGCTACGAGAGAGCCAACTGAAAAATGAATCGTCCCACTCATCTGATGACATAGGACTTTGGGATACTGCAGGAGTACTAGACTTAGGGCCTGTTTGGATAGATTTTTTTGGGTAGTAAAAGAGAAGAAAGCTGCCAAAAATGTCAGCTTTTTGACAGCTTCCCCCAAAATCACCTTTTTAAGGGGTGATTTTGGGGGAAAGCAGCTTTCCCCACTTTTACCACAAAAAAAAAAGGAACCACACAGCCCCTTAATTGAAAAGCCTTGGAATTTTGATCCACGTGTCATCAGATTATCTTCTCCATTGTCAAAAAACTAGTAAAGAATAGTAAAAAAATTGTTGGTTTTAATTAATTATTGATAATGGATAGTTAAACTTTTTCTTAGATTGTATCTAGAAACTTGTTTAGAAAATACTATTTTGAATTGTGATACGCACGTGTTGCCCAATAACTTTCATAGCCTATTCTTGCTCCTACCTACCAAATCCTTTGCTCAAATAAATAATTACTGAGGGCAATAAGTCATGAGAGCTATTACACAAAAGTATAACCTCAACTCTCGTTTCTAATCGTAACTTTGGAGTTAAGTTCAAATTCCTATAGGCCACAAATTTTAAAGCGGGTATAAAAAATTTATAGGTAGCAATTAACCTCTTTGTTTAATATAATAGATAACCATTACAACAATCAGCATTATGGACAATGCTGAGTCAAACCCACTTACTCTCAAACCTGAAAAAGTACCCAATAAACCAAGACTATTGTATTAAATGCACACCAAAGAGATATCAACATTTAGACCATTGAACTTAAAGGTTTATACACGAATTTAATGATTGATATTTCTTTGATACACATTTCATGTCATAGACTGGATTCACTAGATATTTTCTCAACAAACCTACTCATCATAACAAAAATACTTACCCTCAGCCTAATTAAACAAGTGGTGCAACGAAAATTTTAAAACAAAACAAGGACAAAAAAAAAAGCCAAATCCAAGCATTAACCACGAAACGAAAAATACCGTCACAGGCAGGCCCTGCTCCCGCCGCCCGAGATCCCTCGCCCGCAGTAAAAGCAGGCTGACCATGGCCAGCCCAAACGCCGACAGTCCATGCACGGTCGAAGCGTTGGAGTCATACGCGCAGTATGTGCGCTCGTCGTACTCGTCAGGCATCACTCTCCCCTTTTAAAAATCACCCAATTGAGAAAATGCATATTAACTTTACACAAAAATTGAAACTAAACTCGAATATTATGAAGTTTGGAGAGAGCTGGAGCCTACTGTGCTTCGTCGTCTCTCGGCGCCAATGGAGAGGACGAAGGCCATGAGGTGGAGGGAGCAGACCACGCGCCACCACCGCGAAAGACCGCTATTAGGGAATTCATGCTTACTATTTCCGTCCTTTCTGTTTATGGATTTCCATTTTTAGTTATTAGTTTCATGGAATTTGGATCCTCTAGGGGTGTCTTTTTTTTTTTGGAATATGAAAGGGAGAAAGTAACTTATTTTCAATACTTTAAGTGTTTGTTTGTATATAAATGTTTAGAAAGTGAAATGCAAGAAAGTTACCACATATGATTTAATATAATTTTGACTTTTTCTAAAAAATGGTGAAGTCACATAAAAATGAGAAAAATGATAACAAATTTTAA